TTTCTCCTTAATATAACATAATTTGTACTTAAAAAAATGTTCTCAATTCTATCTGGCCCTGAAAAACAGCAAAATTTGTGAAAAACGCATATTAAAAGTCAGAAAAACAACAGTTTAATGCATAAATATAAAAAATCCCCCAAAGTTATTTTGTAAAGAACACACGTAAAACCATTAATCAGCTACTCTGCATTCTTTGACTGAATAAAAGATGTTCTCTTCAATGAACTATTCCCAACTGGCCACAGCGGCATGTTTGTCGAAGCTCCTTCCTTGATTGTAGTTTTGGCCTTTAGCCAAGGTTAAGAAAACCAGTCTAATCACTAAATGGAGTCCTTCTCTGGATCAATTGGATGGCTGCAGCTCTTAAGCAGCTCAGCAAATAATGTTGTGCTGGCTTAAACAAGACCGCAACATTTGTGAGTTCTCTGCATTGACAGATTATGCAATGGATTCATTTCTTATTAATGTCTTTTTTCATGCCATGTTTCTTCGTCATACAATCTATGGAAAAAGTTTCCATTTCAATACCGTCTTTTGCACAAAGTAAAGATTTGATGAATAAATAAATTCAAAAATGACCGCAGAGTGAAAAGTAATTGTAAAATGAATGAAATTATTGTTCAAATTATTATATTCTGCAGGAGGACTCAACCACATTTTTCATCCCTAAAGAACTTCTCTTTGTGGCTATACGAAGAGAAGGAAGTTCATCACAATTTGTTCAAACCGAGATTACATTGCAAAGCCTTGTTAGTATTTCATCAGTGTCATTTCATGTGAAGGGGAGAAGCTTTGACCTCGCAGACACGCTCAGGCCACTGGCCTCTTTATGACGCAATACTTAGTGTGGATGGAACAGGAGATCTGATTAAAAGAGACAAAGTAAGAAGAAATCGTTGATCATTTTGTGATCATTATTTCATTATTTTGATTCGCAGATATTACAGAAGCCGTCAAGAAGATGAATCCCTGGCACGGTAATTTGAACTGGTCACTCCTTTTATTGAGGAGGAAATAAAATCTTTTGTTTCTCCAACACAAAAGATCAACGTTAATGATCTTCATGTTCATGGGAAACACAGATTCTTGCAATCTTTTAGATGTGAAAAAGTAAAAGTTAGAAGAGAAAAATAAGGAAGAAAAGAAAAGAGGATAAAAAAAGAAGGCGAGGTCAGACGGGGAGAAGCAGGGCAGCGTATCCGAGCCAACAGGGCTTGCAGTCCGACAGCTGACGGGTCACATTGTAGAGCGAAAGGACACCTCGTTGAACCTCAGAGGAAAGTGTGTGCGCTTGTGCGTGTGTGTTTTTTGGCAAGCACGCACATGTTTGTGTAAGGTGCGTTCAAGCGGAAGGGGGGCAGGTGTGGAGGCCTGTCGGGTCACGGTGTGAGCACGGGTCAGAGGTGCCCTCGCTGCCAAAACCTATGATTCAAGGTGTGAGTCACCTCTGTGTTTGTACCAACATGTGCGTGTCTTTGCATGCGTGTGGAGCAGAAGCGCTTTGGATAGGCTCTTTTCACAGCATCCATTTTGACAGGTCATTGCAGGGTCAACACAGGTGTAACTGATTTAAATTATTTTGGTCCTTTTCTATTTAGTGTGTCAGAGCCACTGCAGTAAGCCCGGGTCCACCCTGAAGGAATACCTGAGTTTAACCTGCAATGGCATGTCGGACAGGCTGCTTTAAAGTGGACCTATTGTGAACAGACGGTAAGGGGAAAGTAGAGAAATTTGCCAAATTTTGATTCCAAACCTCGTAACGATCTGTAATTTAAGCCTTAGGCCAAAATTCCCACCACTCCAAAACCCTGAGCCAATATATCTACATTTATTATAATGAGCCTTCGGATTGGTTTATTAATGATATTTGACTAAATAGTAATGAAAGGCATAAAACATATTCTTTTAAACCCAATTAACCCTAATTAGAGTTCTGCTGTTGGCTAATCTGATCCGATACTCAACCTTATTGTTGATTACATATATCATCCATCCATAAATGAGGCCTACCTTATTCATAATGTGCTCCATGAGCAAACACAATAAACAATGCATCAAAATATACCCAGATTGACCCAATCCTTTACTTTATCCACCAGTACATAACCCACGGTGCAATGATAATGGCAGCACGATTTAACTAAAGCTGTTTTCAAATTGAAAATATGTAGAATGCAAAACTATAGAAATACAAAAAATGAATCAGTGATGCAGTCGGTTGATAACCGCTTGAAAAAAAAAAAAAGATTTGTTGACCAGTTATTATGGTATATAATAAGATAAGGTTTAAGATAATGTTTCGATTACCGTCGTCCTTCACGGTTGAGTTGTTGTTGAGCCTGAAAATAAAACACAAGCCTGCTGTTTTCTTTTTCTTTTTTACACTTCTTGTTCTCTGTCAAACGCTGGGATCTCTACAATAACTTTGCCTGAGTTTTTCATGTCTTACCGAGGCCTCACCCAAACGAAGCGTCAGCCCATCGTTCCTGATCCGTCCAACGCGATGCTGTGCACTACTCACCTCACTAACCCTGCAGGACGTAGTACATCTATTCAATAGTAACTCAGCTGTGCCGGCCGACTAACCCAGGAAGAACACTTGGTTGGCTTTGGGATTATCTCTGAAGCAGCTAGTGTACAGGGAGCCAATTTATGCTCTTTTCTGAACTAAGCACCTGTGTGGACACTAATCACCGAAGGTTTGCTCGGATAATATTAGCTGGCTTTTACAGACGATAAGCGGTTCACTCAATTATGCGCATTATTCTATGCAGAGGCTCAAAAATGGGATCAATATTTTTCTCTTTCTTTTTGCGATTATGGTGATTCAGACTTTGGCTGTAGGAATTGACTTCCCATAATCCTTCACCCCTTGCTTTCTTCACAACATGTATCAGTTGTGAATATTCTCCATATTGTGAATATAGTGTCAGAAAGCCTTGGAATGTGTTGTGTGATGATCCACCTCCTCTGTGTCACTTGGAAAGCACTACTGAATGAGCTTTTCCTCTGCATGTTGCAGCGTTAAACAGACAAAACACACGAGCAGGTTTAATAGCGGCTGCATTTCATTTCGGTGTGCCAATGCAGGCTCTGTGGCATCGTGCACGCTGGCATACTGCCATTGCTTACTGACACAGTGAAATGGAGTGACGCCCTTCAAATGTTATTAGTCACACCTGTGATTTTCCTACAATGACAAAGGTCTGTCGTGTGTATTTCCAAACACTGCTGGGTCCGAGAGCCACGCCGAAACTGCCAAGGAGCGAGGGGATTAAATTATCGATGGAGCATTGGTTCATTCGCCGCTTTGCCGGAGGTGATGCTGAGGCGAGTCTTTCCTTTTCCCTCCAACTCATGTATTTGGCTCCTTCAAGACAATGGCAGCGGTCCAGCTGGTGTGATACGGTCTTTGCTGGGGTTCCGGTTGCTCAGGAGCCAAACTCCGGTGACTCATCTCCACTCAGGAGGGGAGATGCCAGACACAGTCGCGGCGTTTGTCAGCGAGAGTGAAAATAACCATCTGCGGGCCGTCTCGCTAGCATCTTTTATTTACCGACACCACCCTGTCTGGCCTGCTGTCTGTCTGCTGGCTGGCCGACTGGCTGATAAACTGACTGGATGTTTGATTTGCAGTCTCTCTGCATAACTCACGGACTTTGAAAGCGGACTTGCTAATGGCTCCAATGCGTCTTATTGGCTCTAAATGACATTTACTGTAAATATAAAGAAAGCTTAAAGTGTGAAACGCTAATAAAATATATTTAGACTACATTTGCAATACAGACCTATGAGTGCTTTCAGAATAAGGAGCTGGCCCAGCTTTGGATCTCCCCATCAAACCTGAGAAGTTCAAAGTGAAAAGACTCGAGGTAAATTGCAAAGTAAGAGACTCTATTTTCAAATCTCACTCTCAATCAGTTCATTATTCAGTGTTGCAGAAGCCGGGGCTGTATTGACAAAATTCCATCCCCACGGTCTATAAAAACCTTTCTCAGACTTTTTTATCTCGCTTTCTTTCCCTGCGCTCAGACAGAAAAAAAAGGTACATCGTTCTTTTTTTATTGATCATTCAAAACTATTCCAATTAATGACCAAGAAGCACATTTTAAATTTAATGAATGGCTCCATTTAGAAGAGTCATATGATTAATCTGTCACCTGCAGTGCATCCATTTCTAATGAGGACTTTTAGCAAAGAATAAAGAAATATGCATTCATACAGCACTGATATTAATGTGTTGCAGTTGGTGAGCTGGTGTTCGATGAGGTTTGAAGATCCAAATGTTGTGCCTTTTTTTTTTTTTCAGTCTCACTTCTTTGAAATGAACCAGTCAGAGACACGCACCATTTCTCCGCTATCCTGAATAAAGTAATTAAAATTGTGATAAGTGGGGCGTCACATTTTAATGAGTCTACCAGGACCTCTGTTTGTGAAGTGACATACTGGCAGGGACACAGGTGAGAAGTGTGATGCGTTGTGTGTTGCACACTAATTGGTGTATTTGTTTAACCCAGCCTTTGGTATTCAGTCAAGTGGCAGATCTAGAAAAATATTCATGGGGTGGCACACAAGAGTGTGCCATTAATACTTTGAGAAAGGGACAAGGGACACTTTCACGCGTTGTGTTCAAGTAACGGCAGCGGTTGTGATCGGCCTCTTTGCAAAAGATTCCTCGCACATTCACAGACTGATGGTTTCCAAGCAGCGTCTCAAATCTGCTGTGGCGAATATGATTACATCACATGTATCTCTTCAACGGTGTTGTTGAGCTGGATATGATCTCACAAGAGCCAAATAAAACAAATACCCGTGTTGTCTGCCTACCTGAGCTGTGATTGCAGCTCTACCTCCAGGAACGTATTAATACGTCAGCTTCCAGTTGACATTTGTTCAGGGCTTTAAAACAGCTGTTGCCTTTTGGCCTTTTATTGTTATACTGCTTAAAACTCCAGCTTCATTGTTGTTCTTCTCCGCGTTGCTTTCTTCTCTATTAGCAATGCCGGTGCCGGAGCAGCCCGCGGAGCAGGAGAAGGGGGCCGCGGTCGCCCCCGTGATGCCGGCCTCCAACGGAGACAGATCTGAGACGGAGACAACGTCCTCCATCCTCGCCTCTGTGAAAGAGCAGGTAGGAGCCCTCCGACGTGCATCGTGCCAAACCCGTATTGTGTTTAACGTTGATAAGAAAGGTGCTTTTTTTTGTTGCTTTGGGTTCGTTGGCCCAACAGCTTGCCGTGAGGAGGTTGTCACTGTTATTTGTGGGGAAAAAAAGACACTTGGCTGCGTTGAAGTAATTAAAGAAACCAACGATTGATTACTGCCAGGGGAATACGAGAGCGTAATGGATGGAAATGATGGAGATGTACGGCTGTAGCCGAGCAGACGTAATTGAAAAAGTCATTAAGATTGAGGCAATTACCCGACGTTGGTACTGCAGGAAGCTGCGGCGCTGCAAGAGGTCACGCAGAGTCGTGGTGCTTTGGGCTTAAAGGGTGGCGAGAGGGGAGCAAAGCAGGACGTAGAGACGGCGGAGAAGGAAGGGCGGATATGAAGGGAGGAGTTTGGTTGCTGTGCAAGGAAACAATGGTTTTAATGTTTTCCATTGGAAGCTTCCCACTAATTCAATTACTGATTTTGTGTTTAACCTTGGACTTGGATTCCTTTGTCTAATGGATTTCGATTCTATTTGGATTCAGCTCATCATCGAATACAAAACGTAATAGATTTATCATTTTACCTATCTACATTGACTCTGAAGTTGCCCTTTATTTAATACCGCATAATTTTTCATTTACCCTTACCAGCCAAAGGACATTTGCTGATGGAAATTTATTTTTTCCTTTTTTTCCTTTTTTTTTTTTTCGCAAATGGCTTCCGTTTGTGTGTGTGTGTGTGTGTGTGTGTGTGTTTTTTTCAATGCTCATACATGACTGAATCACTGAACCGTGCAGTTTACTGCACGTGCTCTGGACCAGTTTTGAACCCGCAGACGCCTCCCTCCTGCTGGGAGAGTACTGACGTTACCCAAAAGGAAACAAATCACAGACATGTAACCACCGTTAAACCCTGTTTTTTTCTGCTGCAGTTCCATAGCTCAGAAAACTACTCCCTTCAAAATGAGATCCTTGTTCAGTCATCAACAGGCAACAGGAATGCCTTTGCACCCGGTGTTTTCAACAACATGTTACTACTTGAATACTTGAATAAAGTATTTTTCCCTTTTCTTCTTTAAGATCCCTGAATTTTTAAAGCGAACCAGATTTACTTAGATCCATTCAGCTTCGTTGATGAACACCATACCAATGCAACAAGTAGCCAAGTAGGTGAAAAAATATCCATATTTGTGACCACATTGCTCCTCAATCCAAATATTAGATGTTTTTTACTGCATGCAGGAATTCGAAGGCGGCTGCCTCGGTAATATTTCATCCGGCCTCCAGCTCTGGCGGGTGTCTTAATGGGAGACACTGCTTTCTAACCAACGTTGCTCTTGATGGATTTCTGCCATACATCCGCATCGTCGTGCCGTTGTCGTGGCGCTGCATCGTAATTAGAGGAACGTACCCCCAAAACTGCCACAGAAAAAAAATAAGCTCTCTGTTTTTGGCTGCACTGCAGGAAAGCAGAAGCGGAAGAATTATTCTTTCAAAATGATCGTGCACCACAAAAAGACGTAACTGTTGATAACGTCTTTAGAAATCCCTTCGAAATCCATGTTTTTGGAAATATGTTTTGACATTTGAATCCCATTGACTCACCATATATATTTCATCTTCATATCAGTGTGATCATACTCTCCTGTATGAATGGTACCATTCTCATTTTTCCTTCTCCCTGTAGCAGCTGGATATGGGGCACATTCGCGGCTATATCAGCAATAGACAGTGGCTACGGATATTGTGACAAAATATACATGGCTCGACAGTAACTAAATTAACATGTTAGACGCACCAATTTGAAACTGGTAATAAATTCAAGAGATCAGAAGCTAAAAAAATCAAATTTTTCCACCACTAGTAGACATATTGATAAGACATTAGTTCCGTATTTAGTCTAAACATTCAATTTCATCAAATTAATAATTGCAAACAAGCATGTGCTTTTTATCGGGTTCCATTAACCTTTATTAAACTAAATTCAAACATTATTATATTTCCCCAAATGCCATCATCTGGCAAATATTTCTTTACCCTAGTTGGTAGAATTTCAAACGGACAGAGTGTCTTCTACCGTCTCCCCTCAACTGCCCTCCGTATTATCATTATTTTTGTTTCGTCTTGTATTTTTGTTGTTTTTCTATCAGCAGATCTGTAACATATTTCTATATATATTCTATATAGAACATATTTCTAAGCAGTGTGCAATAGATGCATGATGCAAATGTGTGATGAAAGATTTACTCGAAATATAGCTCTTGCATCTCCAGTCCAGGTGTGTATGCATGAGTGTGTGTGTGTGTGTGTCTCCCTGCAGATTGCTCCAGTAACCCAGCAGGCTTACTCCCTTTGCGGCACATCATCCTTCCTAACACACACCTCTCTCCACGATTACGTACCATCGAGGATACACACGTGGCTTGGATTCTATTTAGCAGACGCCATCTGTCTGCTTGAGAATGTGTGTGTGTGTGTGTGTGTGTGGGTGTGTGTGGGTGGGGGTCCGTGTACATGTGTTTCTGGTGGTTAAGTAAAAAGTTACGTTTGATATGTTCAGAAATAAATAATCGCCAACCAGCTCTGTTAATCCTGCCGTCTATTGTATTATTTTTTAAATGTGACACAATTACGAAGATCGTCAGTTTTGCAATGAATTCATGAAAAGATCACCAAAGACCGTGTGTGACACCTTTCCAAGTGCTAAAAAGAGATAGAAAAAGAAAGTAAAAGTAAAAGTAAGTAAGGCCTTGCCGGTTAAAGTGACAGTAAATCAATACGTGTTAAACATAAGTGCTCTAAATGCTGATTGTAATACATGTATATTTTTCCTTTTTATCTGAACTTAGAAATGTCCTTCCCTGTGACCATATTTTACATAATGGTTAGAGATTTGTGTTTATTCACAATGAAGAAATCAAACACTGCCTTGATTAAAAACACAAGGACACAATACCACCGTTTTTAGGCACAATAGGCACCTACTTCGCCATTTTACTTTGAAAAGGAAATACACTTCCAGATATTCGACTGCACATGTGTCAAACCCGCGGCCCGGGTTAACATAACACATAAGATGTCTGAGCTAAAAGTGCTGCAACGACCCCAACGGAGAGTGGCTGCACTTGCTCGAAAGGCAATAGAACCGGAGCTCCAATCTGTGCTGCTGGAGAAAAAGATGACGAGTGGAGAAGGAGACAGTCGTTATGAGTGAAAACGGAGCGATTACATTTGAGAAACATTTGAAATTCACCTGTTGGATCAAAAGGCCAGTTATACAAGTAATAAAATACATCTAAATACATTCATACCCCTGAAAAATCCCATGCATGTGAATGAAAATGTAAACATCTAGATTGAGCAATCTTGATTTATATCGCACAATTTAATTGATACGTAATTTACTGTATCTACAAGCTGTATTTTTTGGGGTCAAGACGCCATTTAACCTGCGGTTTCTTCTTTTGATCCATGGGCTGATCTAGAAAAAAGACGCCATGTTTATCTACATACATTAACAGGTTTAACAGTCGAAAATGTACTGCTTTTGATGAGTCGAGCTGGGACGTCCTCTTCTGCAGCTCGTTCCCTCCACTGGTCCCAAATGCTCCTCTGGGATATGCACTCTTTTAGCTATGCAAATGTTTTGCAGCACATCTGTTGCAAAAACTATGGTGCATGCCGTCTCTCGCTCCACCCTGACCTCACTGTGGAAGGACCGGAATAAAATATATGCAGCAGCTACGCATCGTCTCACAACATTAGCCTATGATGACCAGTTTAAATGAACCTAAACATAAGCCACGCACGACTGCACTCGAGAACTCAATGATTGACCCCAAATGCGGGTGCATATACCGGCCACAAATTCCATGCTTTCTGGCTTTAGAAAATCTAAAATGTGACTCCATCCAACTACAGGTAATTTAGGAGACAATGCGTACCATTTGATTTGATCACAAATACAGATGCGCATGTCTGTTTGGTGGAAGCCTGATAAAGCTGCAGAATATGCTACAGGAAGGGTTGCTAGACGTTGCCAATATTTGAATTTGTCTCAAATCGCAGTTTGTCATCTCAAAAGCCTTTACAGGCCCTTGCGTTTGCAAAGAGAGGAGAGAAACTATATATATAAAACGTCATCAGGATCACTAAAAGAATCGTGAGGATGAGTGAATTTAATGAACTATTATTAGGTACAAAGCAACTTACTGCATGACAGGTAACGACTGAAACTAGATTCAGGAGGAGGAGGCTTTCTCCTAAATTCTGCATCCCCGGGGTACCACTGAAATTACCAAAGACAAATCCATTGGCAAAGAATAAAAGAAATTGAAATAAATTAAAGCAAATGTGCTGAAAAGAAAAACAAAGAGTTCTCTATTTCTAAATGCAGCTTCTTGTTACCAAGCAAGCATGTTCAGGCGTAGCACTACATCGGGCGTTACCCACATTTTATGGCCTAGTCGTACAACCTGCTTTAGGTTTAACTGAACAACTGTCTGGATGATGGCTGGTTGTCTGCGCACTACTGTCCTCATCACAGCTACCCCCGTCCATCGGACCAAACCCGAGAACGTACTGCTCGTATTTACACATCTCTCATTTTATTATGCTGTACCATGATATTAACGACATACCACACACTGAGCTACCAGTTTAAAGTCCACAAAGGGGATGAGTTAAACGAATGTAGAATATTGTCGGAAAGCTCGACAGGAAATGTGCTTTATGCTGAATCTCCGCAATATCAGTAAATGTTAACTGGCTTCTTAGATTTTCATATCCAACAGTTTCTGTGATGCAGTTTAGCCATTCGGGTTTCTTCTGATACTTTGCACTTTGTTGCATCAGTTCTTGCCTCCGGAAAGCTCCACAGAGACCAATTTAACCGCTGCTGATTTGCAATACAATCTATCAGTCTTCTGCATATTTCCATTTAGCTGAAGTTAATCTCCTGCTCTTTTTTCAGAAC